TTTTTTCATATCCGGTGAATTATTTCATACTAGGTACGTATTGAAAGTATCTGTGGATGAATGGAATCCTTTAACTGAGCAAATGATTCGTTGATTTGACTTTTGATGTTGGTTTTTGATGTTGGATTAAGGGAAAAAAATGATATAGGTAAATTTGGGATAATTGAAGCGATTAACTGTTCAAGTAACGGATTGAGATCTATGTAATGTATTAGTTGATTTCAGATGCGTTGATGATGAAGGGTTATTCGTTGACAACGCGATGCAGCAACAATCACGAAGCCATAACAATTTCAAAATTGAAAATATTAAAAATTCAAATGGACTATCGTTCGGTGCCCCACCGCTGCCACCTGCTGCTTCATCAGTACTACCACAAGCAACGTCATCCAGCGCACTACCCCCTCCGACTTCGTTAAGCGATAGCCAGTTAATGCCTCCGCCATGTCTACCCCTGCAACGGACCATCATATCGCCTCATCCGTCAACTATTCTTAGTCCAGCGGCCACTCAGCTCCAGCAACTCCAGCAACAGCACCAACATCAACAGCAATTTATGCCCATTCAATCCATACCTGTGCCATCATCCGCACTCACGACGCCGTCATCACTAATTTCTGTGCCTATTCCCTCTGTGTCGCTGCCAGCAGTTTCCGTCCCCACTGCAGACTCCATTCCTGTTCCGCTCCAAACGTCCGTCTCATCTGAACAATCTGCACCACTTTCAGAATCTGTACCTGTACCCACGGTGTCAGTATCTGAACCTACTGAAGCTGTACCTGCTGTATCTGTACCGGTATCTGTATCTGAACCTACTGTACCTGTACCTATACCTACCGTACCCGAACCTGTACCTGTATCGGTTCCATCAGGTTCCCCTCCCCAACCAACATCACCACCACCAGCACAAACCACAACAAATGTAATAACGCCACTAGTTGAATCTTCTCCACTACCTCCTACAGCATCATTAACGCAATCTCCAACAACGAATAATGAAACTGAAACAAATACTGTTGATTCTTATAATATTA